CTTTGGCAGCGATGCGTAACACCTTAGTAATGCTTGCGGTATTTTAGTTTTTCCTCGAATCTTCCATCCAAATAAGCAGTCAAAAGAACACAACTAAAACCGCTGCACAATAATCCAAGCTCGGTGGTTGTAAAAACTGATATCGGTCGAACTCTAAATGAACGTTAGAGACGCATCTCAAATAAGCGAGTGCTAACGGCAGTGTAATCGACAAGAGGCTCACTGAATGGGCCTCGTCTTCCGAAATGTGAATGAGGTATCTCGAGGATAAATCCGGCGCAGTTAAGTGGTTCAGATTTCGAATTGTGGTATCCATACGCATCACACTGATCGCGAGTAATTCCGCTGTGCGCGGAAGACAAGATTATTGACTTGGTTTGAAGCCCCAGTGAGAGATAGCGGGGCTTCAGTCGGTAGTGTCTACAACACCGGTATGCGTGAACCTTTGGCGAATGAGAAACAAGTTCCTTGGAGAAATGTCACTAGTTGAAACATGGGGGGTTGGGGACAGATAACTCCAAAAACAATGATCAGGATATCTGGCCCAAACCCGATGGCCACTAATCATCTCGATAGATGCAATAGGGAGTGTGGTCTTGGTCAATCAAGGTCACTACCGATGAGTGAATTCATCAAAACTCAGGCACTCATCAGCATTTATTTGCTCGTTGTTGTCAATTCAGCTCTCTTAAGAGGGTAGTGATGTACTTGAAGCGATGAAGTGGAGAGGCCTGTACCGAATGAGTGTATTTTGACGTTACGATCCAAACTGAGACTCGTAATACAAATAATATACATAACATCGTGATAAAAAACTAGGAAGAAGCAAACAAACAAATCTGATCAAAATCGGTTATATTGTAAGTCAACCGGAATAGCAGAATCCAGTTCACACGTTAGAAGGTGGAAAACAGGATTATTCCAGTCGGCTTTTCTCGTCAAAATCTTCTACTAAATCAGGAACCTCTTCATCAAAGTCTTCGGGTTTGGCTTCACCCTCGCCCTTCGAAGTTTCTGAAAAACGAAGCAACGAGCACAAGAGTAAATCGTGGACAAAAAGTGCATTAATCGAGTATGCAGTTTCACGTATGATGGACTTTGGATCTGAAGGGCTGGTGCGCGCTAGACCAATTACCATGAATAACCGTCATAATTATACATAACAAAGCACATTAAATGGAATGGTGAAAGTGTTGTTTTCATTCGACTTTCGTGAGATGAACTCTGAGGAGTGAAACCCATAATCAGTTCAGTTACGGAATCCGGCGACCAAAGACTTGACGTGGCAAACCATTGAAGGCTCTTAAAAGGATATGCATGGCCGTAAGTCGGATAACTGTGGAATCAACTACTACCGACTGAACTATGATAGAATGGCTACACTTTGGTCTTTGCAACTTTTGGAATTACGGCAACCTCGATACACGAACCGGTGATTGAGTGTTGATATCAATTGGCATGAATGTTAAAGCATTCAGTAACATCCGGCTTGATTGTGTCGAAATTATTTATCACACTTAGCAAAATTGATGACAGAAGAAAGCAATGATTCATGGGCACGTAACTTTAGATTCAATTGTTTAACTTAGTAGACAGCGTCGTTGGCTCTCGAAACCGCTAAAAATACACTGACGACCGTGATTCCCTGTCATGGATAGGTTGTTGGTTTATATATTACACGCGGCTGTCTGGTGGCTAACAGACTCACTTTGGTACCCAGAGTTAAGTTTGAAAAACCATTAACCAAGCACTTTCGTGCGCCGGTTTTGGTTGCTGTCTTTTGGCTGCCCATTTGGATGAACCGTAGAAAGACAGGAAAGTGTAGAGCAGAGTCGAACAGAAAATGAAGAAGTTCAGTGGACTAACGTCTTAAGAAATTTTAGATGCACAAGCGCCACTGTTTACGACACTCAGCTATACCACTGTCTCCAGCCACCGGTTACGATCATGTCGAGGCCCCCATCCAGGAAAATCAAACGGTACCTTTGCCCGAGTCTCTTGGTCTGGAATTTCATACCCTCGTGCTAGGTCTTGGCTTTATTCCATCCACTACCTGCCTCAGCGAACATCGCTCACCGTGACATCCTATTTGGTGACATACATAACACATGCCCCAACCAACGCAATCTATGGAGGTCTACTACTTGTTCCAATGAGCTACCGCGATTAGCTAAAACTCTACGCCTAACCTCAGCGTTGCCCGACC